GCATAATAACCGGGACTTGAACCAGCACCCCAACATGGGATCTGCGGCCTTCTTGGATGTGCATTAGCAGGAAGCTGGATGAGAAGCAGAGGTGGGACTCAAATCCAGGCACTGTGATATGGGATGCAGGCATCCCAAGTGGCTGCTTAACCTGCCATACCACAATGCCCACACCTGGAGATTCTATCGAATTATGCTCATTTTAATAGTATTAAGAGAATATTACCCTTTTAAACATGAGGGGTCTTCAAAGAGTTCAGTGAAAATGCTTATTTTGAGAAAACTGTATATGGAGTGCAAAAATTTTTTGCACCAAATTCAACTTAGCTTTTAATTGCATTTTCCACAGGCTTTTTGAAGGTCATAGGCCTGATTCTATTCAGAAGGCAGAAAAGGTTTCTGTCTTCTTAAAAAATGAGTAAAGTTATATCTAGAACAATGTATCATTATTGTCATTGTTTACCAATCACATTAGAGTTGATCAAAGCTTTGTTATTCATGGTTTAATTTTATCACCACTGCCATCTTGTGAAGAAGGCAGAACAGGTATTACTTATGAATCTGTGACAGAGATGAACAAAAAACTAATATATTTTTACCTATAATCCTGAAGCACCATTATTGTTAAGTCACACTGGGGAACCACACGGAATGGAAATTGTTTTTTCCAGTATCATTTTACTAATTTATCTTTAAGTATTCTTTTTTTTTTAAACTTTCTAATGGAATAGAAATTTTGTCTACTGATAAGTTTTTATTAATTTTAAGAAAGAACATAGATCATTCTTGCAAAGGACATTTGAGTCTCTAATTTCCCAAGCTGGAAACTTGTTTCTGATACATATGGAATTGATTGCTAGTGTGGCATTTTTGGAAGAGCTGACCTCTCCAATCCGGTCCCATGTCCGTACAGCCCACATGACTTATAAGACTTGAGCTGCCAGCTTCAAATCTGTTCCACTCACTTCAGAGCTATTGCACACCATGTTTTTGGTAAGATTGATGAGAACTAACAATGTAACCAGGATTTTCATTACAAGCCCATCTTTAGGGGAAAGTCACAGGATAGAATATCTCCAGCTTCTCTAATTACATTAGAGACATTTGGCAAGAGTAGGTCTCTTAAGATGCAGAGGGATTTTGATTGGCTGATCTTAATCATTCTTTGATGATAGTATCTACAAGATAGGTTCAGGGACCTTTTGAATATGCCTTTCAGACCTAAATCAAATCTCTTTTAATTGTTTCCCTAAACTTAGATCAGCCTATAAAATCTGGAGGTGGACCAAAAGGCCTAATATTTCATGGCATGATTCTTCTGCACAGCTCTCTACATCCATTCGCTCATTTAACACCTGTGAGAGCCCTGTGAAGTAGATAACATTGTCTCCATTTACAGATGAGAGAACTGAGACTTAGCAATTTGAAGCAGCGCTCCCAAGATCAGGAAGGCAACATGGGCAAAGCAAGCATTTTAAGCATCATTTGACTCCAAATTCTTTACATATGCTCTCATGGGGGGCATTCTGAGAAATTACTGTTTTCTTCTTTGGGGATCATTAAATTTGGGGCTATCCAAGAGAACAGTCTCCAGAACACTGGCAAGGGTACATCCCTAAAGACACAATAAGAGAGGGCGGCACTGTGGCCTAATAGCCTAAGCCTCTGCCTGCCACACCAGCAACCCATAGGGATGCTGGTTCATGTCCCAGCTGCTCCTCTTCAGATCCAGCTCTCGGCTTATGGCCTGGGTAAGCAGTGGAAGATAGTCCAAGTACTTGGATTCCTGCACTGACAAGGGAGACCTAGAAGGCAGGAGCTTTGGATGGGCCTAGCTCCAGCCATTGTGGCCATTCGGGGAGTAAACTAGCACATGGAAGACCTTTCTCTCTGTCTCTCCCTTTCTCCCTAACTCTGCCTCTTAAATATATAAATAAAATATTTAAACAACAACAACAAAAGACACAATAGGAGAGGCCAGCACTGTGGCACAGTGGGTTAAGCTGCTGCCTGTGGTGCCAGCATCCCATATGGGTGCCAGTCAGTCCCGCTGCTCTGCTTCCAAGCCAGCTCCCTGCTAATGTGCCTGGGAGAGTGGCAGAAGATGGCTCAAGTGCTTGCGCCCCTGCACCCATGTGTGAGATCTGGATGAAGCTCCTGGCTCCAAGCTGCTGAGGCCATTTGGGAAGTGAAACCAGAGGATGGAAGATCGCTCGCTCTCTCGCTCTCTCTCTCTCTGCCTTTTCCTCTCTCTTTGTAACTCTGCCTTTCAAATAAATAAATAAATCTTCACACACACACACACACACACACACACACCAGGTTAGACTGGCACTCAGTTATCCACAGGTGGGAACCCAGCTGGACAGTTACCAAGAATACTCTCCCACGCATTATCTTCTATTTACTCCCAGCACTGCAGGTGTAAGGGAGAGGAAGATTATGAAGGAAAATCACTCCTTTGGCCCATTGATGACCCGTCTCATAAAAGGTTTGTAAGGAGACAAAAGTTAAAAGCTCTGAACCACAACTGTCCAAGTTTCTTGGTTCTCCTGCAGATCCTAGAAAGCTAACTTGGCCGTGGCAGAAATATTAAAATCCTACGATGTTGCCTCTCATCGTTTGTAGGTAAATCAGATTCACCTGTGATGACACGTTCATATTTTAAATTAAAATGTCCTGTACAGCCACAGTGCAAAGTGTATTTCACAGCAGGACAAGGGAACTCTGTTTCTAAGCTCCCTACAATGAATTTCACTGGGCTGGGGTTTTCAGCAGGACAGGATTTTGTCTTTTACGGAGAGTCTGTCGCTTCATCCACGGAAACAAGTCCTAGCTCTCCTTGCGGCTTGCCAGACCTGTGTTTAAATTTCATATTGTAAAGACAACAAATGTATTATTCTAAGTGGCCTGCCTCCAGGGGAATACCAACTACTTCACAGGTAGAATACAAATATCCTTCTCACTTTAAATCTGAGTAAATAGTCTTAAACACTTTCTAAATCCTATTATATGTACAAACTTTGCATGTAAAGGTTGAGCCATGTCGGCAGAGGAGTAAAAGTAAACACATCTTTCTCCCATAAGTACACAGTATTGAATGGAGGAGAAAAGGGCTTTGTACTCTATTCCCTCAATCCCTCAATCAAAGACCTTTTAAAAGAAAAGGCAGAGTTAAAATAATAAGCCGAGTTCTATGATAAGGAACTTCTGTATTTGAATTTCATTGAATTATAGAGTTGGAAAGGGCCTCCTGGGATCCACATAGCCCCAGCCCCCACCCCAGCCCACCAGCCCACCTTCTAACCCACCCGCTTTTTTATGGATTCAAAGTCTGTTCAGCATCAAAACAGAGGGAACTCCGGGTGCCGTGGTCGTTCTTTCCTGCAGTGCATCTGAATTCTGATGATAACCTCTTTTGCTCCCCATTTCAAACCTTCCATTTAACATCTTGACAAATCGCCAGTGACCTTTAAGAGCGGGGGTGGAGGGGTAACAGCAAGAGCACACTCAGGAGTCTGACTCCTTCGCCGTATTTTCCTCATCTACAAAATGGGAGTCGGGACAGGGCTTCTGTGAGAACTGGAAATGATCAACGTCTTGGCACAGTTCCTGGTGCATGGCTGCGCTCAGTAGTGGTGGTCACTGCGATTATTACAGTCATTCTGTAAGCAAACAACACTCACAAAGCCTTTCCCTAAAACAGCCCAGAGAATGGTGATATCATTGTCAGTCCCAAACCATCTTAGAAAAGTGCTTTGGTATTAGGATAAGTACATAGATCTGGGATACAATGTAAACTTTCAGTCTGTTTTAACTTAGACATTGATTGATCCATTGCAATTTAACCCCAAATAACTGTGGCCACCCCACAAAGACACAGTGCCCAGCTGGGCTTGGGGTCCAGAGGCAGCAAGCACTCAGTATCCAGGAGGAGAACTCACTGGTGGACAGGCAGTGGCAGGTGGCAAAGATGTTTGACTTTTTCCAAGAAAGAGAGCTTCATGATCCAAGCAGGCCAGACCCTTTATCTGAACTGATTCGAGCTCAGGGAGAAGTGGACGAGCAGCTCAGACACTCCTTTTGGAAAGCAGAGAATTCCTGCTGAGGATGCAAGGAAGCTTCCCCTACGGAAACTGTTCTTCTGGGCCGCCAGGACTGTGCTGGTAATTGAGAAAGGCATGAAAGTCTGCACGGACTTGGTGACTTACAACCCAAGAAGAAATTCATATTCTCCAGGCTAACTCCTCTCTCTTGGCCCCAGAGGTCTTAAGTTTGACAAATTTGCTCCCCACAAACACTCTAAAGGCACAGCAATGGGGTAGAATCTACCTGGTATTTCTGAAATGATCCTTTTGTGGGTCATTAATTTCTAATGCTCTTTCTTCCAGGGCTTCTTGAGTCTAGAGTGGAAACCATGAGCTTCTGCATCAAGTCAAGAAGTTCTGAAAATATTACTCATCAAATGTGCAAATAATCCACACTTGTCTTGTACAAAACACAATTTCCCATGTCTTGGTGCAGATGCTGCATCCAGCATCCCATACTGGAGCTCCACTTTCCATCTAGCTTCCTGCTGATATACTTGAGAAAGCAGCAGAAATGCCCCAAGCACCTGGGCTCCTGACACCCATGTGGGAGATGAGGATGGAGTTCCAGGCTCCTGGCTTCAGCCTGGCACAGCCCCAGTTATTGGGACTATTTGGAGAGTAGACCAGTGAATAAGAGATGTCTCTGCTCCCACTACTGTCACTCTGCCTTTCAAATTAATTAATTAATTGATTTTTTTCCATTTCCCAAAATGCCTGGCAATTTGAAGGCATTCTACTAGGTTTAAATGATTGGCAACAGAATGATCCAGATCTACCTCTAATGAGAAATGTTAAAAGTCCTCTTTGACCACGAATGTCATTATATTTAAATTTCAACAAGATAACCAAAAGTCTTAACGTGAGTTTACTACAGTTTCCAAGAAAGTCATCAGGAGTGAGCTTCCTTACGTTACTCTGGTGTTTGTTGACCTCCATGGCGTGTCGGACCTCTGGCGGCTCCTTCATGTGGGCATAATCTGAACTTCCTTTGGCGGCATCATGCTTCTGCCTGTAGGCAACCTTAAACAGTGCAGAGAATGGTTGATTCCAGCGAGAGGCACATTAAGTTCTTACCTGTCACACTGCAGTGTCTTGCTAGATACTGCCAGTGATAGTATAGGTAAATTTGTCTAAATCTGTCTCAAGATAAGGTACATAACGGTTTCATCTGAGTGCTTCAGTTTAGACTCCTAATTCTAACCCTGTTGCTTCTTTCTACATGTCCTTGGTCAAACGGTGAAATCTTCACTTCTATTCATGTAGCTCTGATCACACTTACAATTTTGGGAAATTTCCCCTATCCAAGAACTTTCAGCCAACAACATAACTGTCCCTTCACTGAAACTCATAATCTAGTACAACTAGCAATGCTACAATCCCCTAGCACTCCCCTCCCAGTTTTTCACACAACTCTCTATATTCTGAAAGCTCCAACTGAACGTTCTTCCATGAATCAAACCCCAGTCTGCCTCCCCATGACCGCACCTATGTGGCCATATGGAAACAGCCCCTGATTAACAGGGCTGAGCTTCCAGTGAGGAAGGAAGCCATAATGGTATCTATTCCTCCAGACTGTCTACATGGATGGAGGTGTCGGGTCCTGAATACTCCAGATGCTCTCTTCAACCTAAATCCATTTTACTATCCATTCCTTCCTTCAGGTGCCCACAATGGCCAGAGCAGTGCTGATTAAATTGTTTCATCTAATCCAGGTTCTCACCTCCGACCTGCCAAACGCTATCAACGCATCCACAGGTCACAACAGGTTCACTTGGATGGCTACGTTGAGATTTCTATCAACAAATGCTCTTAAATCCTGTTGCTCAGCCATGTTCCCACAAACAATCCTGCATTTTGGTTGACAACCTGGACTTCACTATAGCACCTCACATTATTCCAGGTATAATTCACCTTGTTAAACTGTCCATCAGTTTAGTCCATCAAGATATCAAATTCTGATTAACATATCTGTAAATTTCCAATTGTTTATGTTAAACAGGAATGCCTTTAAGAACTGTCATTCCTTTATGTTCTGAAAGTTTTAGCCAGAGCCATTAGCAAGAAAAAGAAATGAAAAGGATACAAACTAGAAATGAGGAAGTCAAATTATCCCTGTTTTCAAATGACATGATCCTATATATAGGGAAACCAAAAGACTCTACTAACAGACTATTGGAGCTCACAAGAGAGTTTGGTAAACTTGCAGGATATAAAATCAACACACAAAAATCAATATACACAGATAATGCCATAGCTGAGAAAGAACTTCTAAGATCAGTACCATTCACAAGAGCTATAAGAAAATTTAAATACCTTTGAATAAATTTAACCAAGGAGATGAAAGATCTCTACAATGAAATTACAAAACATTAAAGAAAGAAACAATATACACACAGAAAATGAAAGATTTTTTTCTTCCATGTTTGTGGATTGGAAGAATTAATATCATCAAAATGTCCACATTACCCAAAGCAATGCGGATTCAATGCAATCCCAATCAAAATACCAAGGTCATTCTTCTCAGATCTAGAAAAAAATGCTAAAATTCATACAGAAACACAAGAGACCCTAAATAGCTAAAGTAATCTTGTACAACAAAAACAAAGCCAGGCGCCTCATATTACTAGATTTCAAGACATACCATAGGGCAGTTATAATCAAAACAACCTGGTATCGGCAAAAAAAGACATGTACAAAAAAGTAACAGAAATAGAAACCTCAAAAATTAATCCATGCAGTATAAGCTGTAAGCAACTAATCTTTGACAAACAAGCTAACATCACTCCCTGGAGAAAGGAGAATCTATTTGATAAATGGTGTTGGGCAAATGGGATCTATGTATGCAGAAGTATGCAGTAGTTAATACAGAATACAAAAAATATATAGGAATAAAATGGACATCTTATGATTTGATTATTGTTTTTCACCCTTGTCTATATGCCTGTGGAACTGTGGTCTTTATTCTTTTTACTTACTGTATATTATGGTTAGTGAGTGGTGCATTAAACCTGTAATTATAAAGTGGACTGAAATTATGTATTTTCAAAAATTAAAGAAAAGGAAGGAGTGGGATTGAGGGAAGAAGGGAGGGAGGGAGGGAGGGAGTGCATATGGTTATCTTCTTAGAATTGTGCCTGTGAAATACATTAAATTTCTTCTCTTTATATTAATAAACATTTTAAAATGTAGAAAAAAAAAGAACCATCATTCAAGCTGGGAAAGTTCAGTCTCCGTTTCATTATATTTTTAACATCATTTTGAGGAAAGAAGAGGGAACGTAATGTGTGGCAAGTCTTCAAAGCAACAGGCAAACTTCTGTGAGACATCTTCCTTCTGAAATCAAAACAGCTAGCATATGCCTTTGTCCTTTTTGATGCATGTCTGATTTATTTGTTTTAGACCAACTATCTTACTTGTGCCTTTACAAACATAACCAATGCAGCAGATCCTTTTATAGGTTATCATAGAGCTAGCAAATCATCAAGTGCAATTTTACAAAGCACTCTTTCTTAAAAAGGCTATGTAATTTTCTACTTGTAGCATTAAAGCATTCATTTTATTTATAGCTTCTCCTAAGTACCACTTTAGAATTAAGATTACATCAAATTGGAGGCAGCTGAACTTTAATTTATCATATTAATTTTCTACCTTGAAGTAGCTAATGGAAAATTATGTCAAGCTAATAAATTTCTGATAAATTTGATTTCTTAAGATTTGTCATGGGAGTGTGGCATTTCCCCAGATGAATACTGTGGGGGAACTCAGACTACAGTGGTACCAGACACCTAAGGAGTGGAGGGCACTTGCAGTATACACTCATACAAAGATATTTACACAGGCAATGGATACCATTTTCTTATAGATTAGACCCTTGGGTATTTGCACGTGTATATGACAGAACTTCAAAAAGTTTATGTAAAATAGAACTAAAAGGTGAGTTTTTTTTGGTTTAAAAAAATTTTGAAATCCATGCATAATTTTTATAATATACATTTCCCATGAACTTTTTGAAGACTTCTCATATGCAGAGATGTCAAAATTCCTTGCATTAAAATAAACTTATTCTTTAATTCTACCTTCCTTCATGAACTTTTTGAGGTGCGCTAGTATCCGATGTACATGTATGGTTAACTTGCAGTGTATTTCGTTAAGTACTCTCCACGCAACTGCGCTGTTAGAAGTCTAGCATCTGCACCTCTGACCCGGTGAACCAGGAGCCTGTGGTCACTGCAGACAAAAACAGAGACCGCCACGAAGCTTGTCAGGATGACACCTGAGCCGCCAATGCTCCCCTTGGCCTGAGGCAGCCCCGACGAGAAGGACTCCCCTATGACACCGCAGAGTTTTTCATTTCAGTCTCAGAAGCTTTCTTTGGGTTGTTTGTTTATTATGTTTTTAATAGGGGACAGCAAGTAAAATGGTCTCCTAAAAATTCCATTCTTCCTGCCTTTCCCCTTCCCTTCCCCTCTCCTCTTGCCTGGCTTCTTAAGGCCTTTCTTGTCAGTCACCTTCTACAAGGAAGTATTAATCTAGCTAAAGTCACCTTATCACACTAATTTCAATTTAAGTATAGGAGAGTATTTGCAATTTCATTTTAAGAGAATAGTTGATCTGAATAGTTTATCAAAAGTTGAGGAGACTTTCTTTTTAATTTTTTTTAATTTATTTATTTATTGACAGGTAGAATTATAGACAGTGAGAGACAGAAACAGAGAGAAAGGTCTTCCTTCCATTGGTTAACTCCTCAAATGGCTGCCACGGCCAGAGCTGTGCCGATCCAAAGCTAGGAGCCAGGTGCTTCCTCCTGGTCTCCCATGTGGGTGCAGGAGCCCAAGCACTGCCTTCCTGGGCCACAGCAGAGAGCTGGACTGGAAGAGAGCAACCGGGACTAGAACCAGGTGCCCATATGGGATGCTGGCGCTGCAGGCGGAGGATAACCAAGTGCCGGCCCCATGGAGACTTTTCATCAGAACCTAGAATGCCATGAAATTTTAGCACCCATGTCATTCTCCAGGTTACTATAAATCTGATACTATCTGCACACAGTAAAACTTCACTTATTTATCACAGATATTGTCAAAGAGCTCTACTTTCTTGCCTCTTATCCAGTACTCTTTGAATATTCACAATTTTAACAGTACGAATGATGTAAATGACTCTTTGAAAGCAATACCTTACTCAGAATCCATGTTTTTCCCTACTAATGCTAGTTCATAGACTAACAACAGCAGGAGGTAGCATTACTGATTGAGAGCACATTCTTTGCTTTCTTTTTTTTTTTTTTTTAAGATTTACTTATTTATTTGAAAGCAGAGTTACAGAGCAAGAGAAGCAGAGACAGAGAGAGAGAGAGAGAGATTTTCCACTAGCTGGTTCACTCCCCAAATGGCCACAATGACCTGGGCTGGGCCAGGAGACCCAGCCATAGTACCAGCCCCAAGAGAGCCCACTATCAGTGGTATAACACATGTTGATCGGTAAGTGATGATCTATTCTGACATAAGAAAGGATAGCTTACAAAACATCCTGTAAGGACTGTTGTTCAAAGTTAAATCTACCTTGTCCATACATATTTGTGTGCTATAAATCTGTTTGCACTATGAAAACATGAGAAACGTTCAGTACTTCCAAAGAAAAAGGATGCAAATATCTGAACATTTTACATTTTCCATTCCCTCATAAGTATGAAAATAAGACGCTGCTTCTCTTTTTCTTTAATGCATAAATTGTTGCCTGTGATGTGTGATAATTTTGTGCTTTGGGGCCAGTGTTGTGTTGTTGTGGATTAAGCTGCTGTCTGTGACATCAGCATCCTGTTTGGATGCCGGTTCCAGACCTGGCTGTTCCACTTCTGATCCAGCTCCCTGATAATGCCTCTGGGAAAGCAGAAAATGGCCCAAGTGCTTGGGCCCCTGAACCCACTTGGGAGACCCAGAAGTAGTTCCTGGTTCCTGGCTGCGGTCTGGACTAGCTCTGGCCATTGCTGCCATTTGTGGGGAGTGAACCAGTGGATGGAAGATCTTCTTTGTGTGTGTGTGTGTGTGTGTGTGTGTGACTCTGCCTTTCAAATAAGTAAATAAATCTTCTTAAAAAATTATGGGCTTTGTAAAGTAGCCCATAGTGGAAGCAAGTGGCAAGGTGACCAGTAGTTGTCAGGAAAAACAAGGGGTACGTTAGTCACCGCCTGCCATGCAAAACCTTGACATTACATACTTTCAGCTTCACATTGCACAGCTGAATTAGCTTACAGCCAAGGTACATAACAGACATTTAAATTTGTAGTAATGAGGTACTTAAAGGTGTTCTACAAAAGATAACAATGCTCAGCATTATTTAAGAGTGGTGTCTTCTCAGACTATTTTAATTATCAATGTTTCCTCTACTTAAAAGTAAAAGGAGGGACAGTACTGTGGCATAGCAGGTGGGGCCACTGCCTGCAGTGCCGGCATCCCATATGGGCACTGATTCGAGTCCCAGCTGCTCCACTTCCGATCCAGTTCTCTACTATGGCCTGGGAAAGCAAAAGAAGATGGCCCAAGTCCTTGGGCCCCTGCATCCATGGGAGAGACCCGGAAGAAGCTCCTGGCTCCTGGCTTTAGGTTGGCACAGCTCTGGCCGTTGTGGCCATCCGGGGAGTGAATCAGTGAATGGAAGACCTCTCTGTCTCTCTCTGCCTTTCCTTCTCTCTGTGTAACTTTGACTTTCAAATAAATTTTAAGAAAAGTAAAAGGAATCTGGAGAAAGAAGTAAAATCATTTATTAAGAAAAGAGAAGTTAAAACGGTAGGACAGAGGCAGTGTAGTGTGTGGTTAAGAACCCAGAGTCCAGAGCCACACAACTCATGCCTGTGTACTGCCTCTGCCACTGACTGGCTGTGTGGCTTGGGGCAGGTATCTTAAAGGCCCTCTGGTCTGGTTTCCACATCAATGGAATGGGGGATGCCTCATGAGTTTGTTGTGAGGAATAGATGGCATTAATACACATGAAATGCACAAATAGCATCTGACATAAACACTTCAATGTGGTGACTATTTTTATTATCAACCTAAAATGTGGTGTGAAAAACATAAACTATGTAAAAGGAAGCACACCCTTAGAAGGAAATCCACAAAATCCAACAAAAACCCATCTTGCAAGTATTTACTCAATCCTTCCTGTGTGCCAGGGACTGTTCCAACCCCAGAAGCAGACAGGTCACTGCTCTCATGGGATTCAATGAGCCAAGTAACAGGTTAATAAAGTAACAGCCATCAGAGTGTCCACAGCAGAGGAGACCCCGGAGCACCTGTCCAACAGTGAGGGGACACAGACCTCTGGATACCGACCCCATCAGCAGCTGTCCATGTAACTTGTAACGAGCTAATGAAGTGCCCTCCACTTAGGGGTTACACATTCAACCTGATGTCAGTTTAATATTTGCTATGAAGATTTCATCCATGCGCCCTGGATGCAATCTGCTCGATAAATAGCGAACTCAGAAAACAGCCACACGGCATGGACAGAAACTTGCACATGCTCTTCATTTTCCACGATTTCATCAGCAACTCTTGACGGCGTGTGAACCGGCTGCTGCTGATTCTCAGCCAGAGGTTAATGCCCAAGATAAACAACTTTTGGTAAAATGCTACAGACCTTATGTGAGGCTACACGTTTGACCTACGTAATTACACAGAGACTGAGAACAGCCACACCTACCTCACTCTGCAGCTGTGTGACTTCTCTCGCGAAGACACTGTCGATTGTGGCTGGCATCCGTTTATAAAGGGAGTTTGAAAGGTCCGCCTTAGTGGTGCCTTTGTATTTTGCCTAGGGAAAAAAAGGGGGGAGAAATAAATAAACATTCCTTAAAAAAAAAAAAAAAGAATGTGGAAAGAAAAGAAAAAGAACTTTCTTCAGAAACAGAATTTGGTGCCGGCGCTGTGGAGCAGCAGGTAAAGCCACCATCTGCAGTGCTGGCATCTCATATGGGTGCTGGTTCGAGTTCTGGCTGCTCCACTTCTGATCAAGCTCCCTGCTATGGCCTGGGAAAGCACTGGAAAATTGCCCAAGTCTTTGGGCCCCTGCACCAGTGTGAGAGACCTGGAAGAAGTTCCTGGCTCCTGATCAACACAGCTCCAGCCATTGCGGCCATTTAGGGAGTGAATCAATGGATGGAAGACCTCTCTACTTCTTCTTCTCTGTAACTCTGCCTTTCAAATAAATACACAAATCTTAATAAAGAAACAGAATTCATTTAAAAATCTTCAGATTACTTTCATTTTAAATACTGGATCAACTGAACATACAGAAATGAGTCCTGTTGGTCACAGAGAAAGCTTGAAACGAGACTCCCACGAACATAATGATGAATTTTCTCTTTAAACCCAGGCCCACTTTAAAAAGTCAGTCTATGCGTGTGTACTGACTGCTTTGTAGGTTTGATGAGTGGGCAGTCCGACAGCAATGAGACATTTAAGTAGTTCCCAGAAAATATAAGTCATAAGAATTCACTGTCTAGACCCTGAAGGCAGAGGCTGAGCCTTCTTACCCAGGCCTCCTCCCCAGGGCAGGTGCCTTCGGCAGGGTGTGCACCTTCCCACCCCAGTCTGCCCTGTCTCAAGACCAACGCACAGTCATGCTCTTCCATGCCACGTGCACGAGTCCCTGATGCCCCTCTCAGAGTTCGGCTGGGTCACTGAACACAGATGCTGTGGAAGCCGTCTGTCCCCAGGACTCTTGGGATTTGGGTACTTGATAAAAGGAAATGTACTAATTTTCCTCAAGGTTTTTAAAAATTTTTTTTCCATGTTAGCAGAAATACCACAGAGAACATTACATTGATTTTTCCCCAATACAGTGTGGGAAACACTAGAGGTCAGTCATTTACAGCACTATTTTACTCCTTCTCTTTCCAAGCTCCTCTGTTCTGCGTGATGCATTCACAGCCTCTGTGTCTCATCACAGAAGTCACTGCTGGCACCATGGTTCACAGCGCAACATAAACTGCAAGTGCTCTCCAGGAGAGACTACATGACTTTCAGCCACATGATGAACCAGTGCATTTCTCACTCTGTGGTTTTGTAACAGGTATCTCTGTCAAACTCGATTTTATTCCACTCAAAAATAATTTAATTAATTTTGTTAAATTAAAGATACCACTTTTTTTTTTTTTTTTTTTTTTTGACAGGCAGAGTTAGACTGAGAGAGAGAGAGAAAGAGAGAAAGGTCTTCCTTCCGTTGGTTCACCCCCAATGGCCGCTGCGGCCGGCGCGCTGCGCTGATCCAAAGCCAGGAGCCAGGTGCTTCTCCTGGTCTCCCATGTGGGTGCAGGACCCAAGCACTTGGGCCATCTTCCACTGCACTCCCGGGCCACAGCAGAGAGCTGGATTGGAAGAGGAGCAACCTGGACAGAATCCAGCGCCCCAACTGGGACTAGAACCTGGGGTGCCGGCGCCGCAGGTGGAAGATTAGCCAAGTGACCCACAGCGCTGGCCAAAGATACCACACCTTATGGAATCAACTGGTAGGCATTACTTATTTTAAAATGATATCCTATTGTTTATCTCTACTAAACCAACTAGGAAAGAAAAGTAACATAACTTCTAAAATTAACTGGTTTTGCCAGTGTTTTCTATTTATTGAATAAAAATAGCCCTTTTCAGGAGTAATTCTATATAAATAACAAAGGCTTGGAGTCAAAATACAGACATACAGTACATAATAAAATATATCATTTGGGTCTCACGTTATGGCATAGCACACTACACGCTGCCACCTGGGGCACTCACATCCCCTGTCACAGCACTTGGTTTGAGTTTTCGGCTACTCTGCACTTCCAGTCCAGTTTCCTGCAGATCATGGCCCAAGTACTTGGTTCCTGCCATCTGTATGGAAGACTTGGATGGAGTTCCTGGCTCCTGGCTCCTGGCTTTGGCTAGTTCAGCCCTGGATACTGTGAGCATCTGGGGAGTGAATCAGTGGATGGAAGATTGTGTGTGTGTGCGTGTGTGTGTGTGTCCCTCTCTGTCACTCTGCCTCTCAAATAATCAAATCATTATCTGTATTAAAACAATCATCTACAGTAAAATAAACCAACATGAGTCCATTAACAGAATTAGATAATGCTATAGATATTACTAACATTCAGTGATAATTTTTAAAATATTATCTAATATACAGACTTTTCCATATAAATAGCAAAAGGGAAATACAAGCCACTTTGTGAGCTTTGGATAACTTACCTCAGAAATAAAAGTGCTGATATTTCTTACATGGTTGAGCATTGGAGTGTCAGTTACAAATGTGCACTTGTCCTTAGACTTCTTATACTCTTCTTTATAGTGGATCTAAAAAGGAGAAGCATATGCATGAGAAGAGAAAGAAGTACTATGGTTAAGATGGCTGTTTTTGAACAGAGAATGAACTTGCTAAAGTCCATTTTCAGAAGTGAACACTCCATTGTGCAATGACGCTACAGACAAGACCAGTCACATAAAGAGCTCTCCTTCCCAGACCTCTAAGGGGTGAGGCCTAGCGAGGAAGACAGCCTTACAGACAGGAGAGGGTACTTCATTGGTGGTGAACACTAGGCGTGCTGGGCTGCAGACATGGGGGCCCGGCTGTCCAGCCCAATCTTCCGGCAAGCACCACTCACTTCCACTAGCTTACTGCTACTTTTAAGCTCTTGACCTTAACAGTTAAGCCTATGGTCAAACAGAAGCATAGCTGCCCACCTTGTGGTAGAAAACAAGTAGTCATCAGGGCAGATGTAAGCAATTAAGTAGAGGCAGAAATTAACCAAATGGAGATCACTACCTGCACTGCTACCTATGCATGCTGGATTAGAGGAAGGGGCTTAAACTGTGGCTGTGACGGGCTCCTGTCAATAATTAATTCTCCCAAATCAAGCCTACCCAACTTATGAGCACCCACAGTCCTCCCGATCACTCTTCCCCTCCCTGCAAAGGAGTAGAACCCACCCAGAAAGCTGGTGCCACATGTGGGAGACCATTCCAGAATGGCCCCTGCTGAGGGCAGGCAGATCAGCCAGAGACAGCCCAGAGAGGCTGAGCTGAGCTGATTTCTTCTCCCACAGTCAAGAGTAAAATGAGTCACACCCTTCCCCCTGGGGAGAAATCTGAATTGTTCCTCTGCCGGAAGACCCTACATGAGCCACAGAGAAATCAGGAGTGCCGGACAACAACCTGATATGCAACCCCACTGGCACGCTAACTGCTGCACTATCTCAGAACTGGGGAGGCGGACTCGGCGCTCCTGAAGAGGAGGGAGGCAATTTGCTAAATTTATATCACCCTGTAATAAAGCCATGTTTATCTACCCAAGACTGTAAATACTCAGGCTGGAAAGAGTGTCCCGACTCAGATGATAAATTACATGGTCTTCCTAATTAGAACCCAAAAGCGAACTGTATGTAGTCCCCGGTTCTTGGAGGGCATGATTAATACTGGTGTTACATGCTAATGTTCCAAGGACGTTTTGCCATATGCAAAACTGATTTGAGGGGCATTATTTGACCTCTGGTACAACCAGACACAAACATGTTAAGTAAAGTTCTCGCCAAATACCATATTTTACTGCTGTGACTCTTAGATATTAGATGCCTACCACATTAAACATTGCTTTATTCATGAAATCAACATGAGAACATATTTATCTTATCTGAGCACTAAATTACTTTTTTTCTTCTCAGAGATTAGCCATAATTTTAGGTTCCCGCAAATCACCGTCCTTAGCCACTAGTAATTAAACCGTTAATGGCAGTATGATAAATAGTAGGCTATTTTGATCATAAGGAGAAAAAAAATCTCTGTTATATAATTAAGTGTGAGAGAAAATAACCTATCATTAGGCTTAAGTTTGACTCATTATTTTTATCGCTTGCCACCATCTTTTCCCCATCACATTCACATCCCTCACCGCAGTGGTATGCAGTGGTGTGTGCTGATGGCCACAGGCCTCCTGATAGAGTGGAATGCTGGGTCAGGGTTAAGTGTTCACTTCCTTTGCTATGCGGCAAACATTCTAGTCTTACGGACTTCATTTCTTTCTTGAGTCTTTATTAAAAAGATATGGAAATTTGTATCTTTGAGGTGTATGGAAAAATATACAACCATTCCTACTGTAAAATTCATTAGAAATTACACACACATGTTTTACAATATGAATGACCATATGTAAATGATTTTAAGTTTTCATGTACAGAATGTTAACAGACAAGCTTTCCTATGCTGGGATAATAAGAAATAATACATGAAAGGGAACTGTACCAATCAGTGACAGGAATCTTAGGTAAAATAAACATCACCGAATAGCTGGCTATTTCCTGTTACAACTATGTTGACATCTTACACTTTTAGGTTGGCCCCATCTATGCAAAAGGTTGCCTGGCCATGCCCCTTCTCTCCTGCTAACAAAACCTCAGTGGATTCACATAAGGAGCCAGGCCCCTGCCCCAGCACCAGCAGGCACACTGATCTAAACTAGGCATGGCCACATCACTCTCTTTGGCCACTGATTGGCCTGGGGAGGCCAGGTGCCTCGTTCTGGCCATGAGACATTAGTGGAGTCTTCCCAGCCTGAGACAACGATGACTTCTACTGTACAGAATCTAGACCACCTACCTCGATGCTGCGTGTGTGTGTGTCTGTCTGTCTGTCTATCCATCAAAGGGACAGGAGGACACACAAACACCTATTTGATAAGCCACTGCCTTGGGGCTTCCAGTTACTTGCATCCATTTGCAATTACAGCCAATACACAGCCAAACACATTCTAAAATTGAGAAGGAGCAAAGTTGATGACTTTTTGATCATTAGATACCTCTGCAAACATTTATTTCCTCCTCTGACCTTATCCACTAACCCACAATGCTCCACTATAACTGCAGTCAAATTAGCTCAATGTTGTTTCCTCCTCCTGATCCAGTTTCTCTTAATGAGTTTGAAATTAGCTAATGACTGAAACTGGATGACAGATGTGAACTGTCTGAGGATATCTGAGGAAGAATTGTCAAATATCAAGCATCCTCAATGGAAAGAATCCAGAAAGTCTTTTCACAAATGAAATTATGAAAGCCAAGAAAGCCTGGCAAAGAACCGGGGCTCCATTGCTCTTTGTTAACTGGGCAGATCACGGCCCAAGGTCTCTCAGCCAGGTTTCCTAACACGGTTCGAGCCCTCGGTAGAGAGGTAACCACAGAATTTAATATTTTTGGCATTGGAAGGATTTACCCACAACAAACAATGGTCATTTGCCTGGAAAACGTTCTTCCTGCTGCCATGCAAGTGAACACCCTAGAACGCACCGAACCAAAACACCGAGTCGGGGCTGCAAGCAGCTGCAGCCACAGTTCCTCTACAGCAGGCTCTAGATGTCGAGTTTACGAGAAACCTCTGATTCACTCCGCCCAGTAGTTTTTACAGCCACCTGTCAGAAAGCCAGGTGGTCCCTGAATCTGGATACTCCCAGAGAGTGGAGAGGTTTAATTTACTCGAAGGATCGCCTCACTATCTGACAAACAGAACTGACCGACACAGAGTGTGCATCTGGGGAAACTCAAGGTCTTATGTCGCCAGGAAAACCAAAGAGGCTGCTTCAGAGGCCTGGGTCTTTCAAAACTGGGAAGGGAGCTATGCAGAGGGAAGCACCACACTGTGAGCAGAGCAAGTGCAAAGCAGAAGCCAGGCAGGGCCAAAACATACAAGCGTTAAAAGGAAGAAAGGAAGGGAGGTAGGGAGGTGGGGAGGAAGGAACCTCGCCCTGACGCCCAAGGTGCAGCCACTTGACCTAGAAACTGGCTGTTCCTTTCCACAGAGAACTCTAAACAGTTCAGGCCTCCAGGGCCAATCTCTCACCCAACTCACTTCACATCCCAGAAAGGGGAGGGTTCAGCCAAGTCCTCCTGTCTGCTGGTGGCCCCAAGCCCTCTTAGAGACAGAAATGGCAAACGGAAAGAGAATAAACCTCAGAGGCTCTCCAAGGCCCAGGCAACAGGGCAGAAAGCTGCAGGCTGGACCCACTACTCGGGAGGTTAAAATAATTCAAACTACTAGTAAAAGATGACGGGCCCCGAGTCAGAAATGAGGGCTGAAAATGGCTCTGGTATTGAACAGAGGCTGACCTAAGTGGTCACCTACAGCCCCTGAGTCTAGGAAACTTGAAATGGTATCACAAAGCTGTCTGGACAGATGGGGCAGTATTTGGCCTAGTGATTAAGACGGTCACATCCCACATCAGAGTGCCTGAGTCTGATGCCCTCCCCTAGCTCCTGACTCCAGCTTCCTGCCAATGCACAGTCTGGGAGACAGCAGGGATGACCCAAGTGGTTGGGTCCCTGACACCCAGTTAGGAGACCTGGATTGAGTTCCCAGCTGCTGTCATCAAGTTTGGCCCAGTTGCACCCAGTGGAGGCATTTGAGATGGGAGCTCTCAGTTTCTCCATTTCTGCCTCTCAAAGAAAAAAATTTTAAATATTTTAAAGGGGGAGCTTTGGAAGCAAAACATCATCCCCTCTCATAATCACAGGCCATCTGCATGTGACTGCTGCACACAGTTCTGGTTAATACAACCTAATAAAGACACAGGAAAGCTGGGAGCGGTTTAAAGAGGGATAATTAGAACGAGGGAGGGCGTGATGATGATAAAGGCTGCTCTATGAAGAGAAATACATAAAATCATCCAAAAAATAAGGCAGAGTGAGTGGCTACTAACCAGTCTCTGGATTTAGCTGGCCCCAAGCGTGGATGTTGTCCCCACCCCTGACTGGCCAGGTGGCCTTGGGCAAGCTCTCCTCGCCAAGATCTAAGACTCACAGAACCGGGTAGGCGCCATGGCTCGCTTGGTTAATTCTCTGTCTGCAGTGCCGCCATCCCATATGGGTGCTGGGTTCTAGTCCCAGTTGCTCCTCTTCCACTCCAGCTCTCTGCTGTGGCCTGGGAAGGCAGTGGAGGATGGCCAGTGCTTGGGCCCTGCACCCACATGGGAGACCAGGAAGAAGCACCTGGCTCCTGGCTTTGGATCGGTGCAGCGCACCAGCTGCAGTGGCCATTTGGGGAGTAAACCAGCGGAAGGAAGACCTTTCTCTCTGTCTCTCTCTCTCTGACTGTCTAACTCTGCCTAATAAAAAAAAAGACTCACAGAACCTACGGTGCAAGCTGGTGTGGCACACAGTACAAAAATGTACATGGCAGGGCCAGCACTGTAGCATAGCAGGTAAAGCCGCCACCTGCAGTGCCAGCATCCCATATGGGTGCCGGTTTGAGTCCCACCTGCTCCACCTCCAATCCAGCTCTCTGCTTTGGCCTGGGAAAGCAGTGGAAGATTGCCAAAGTGCTTGGGCTCCTGCACCAGTGTGGGAGACTTGGAAGAAGCTCCTGGCTCCTGGCTTCGGATCGGCGCAGCTCCGGCCATTGTGGCTTTCTGGGGAGTGAACCAACAGATGGAAGACCACCCCCCCACCTCTCTGCCTCTCTTTCTCTCTGTGTAACTCTTTCAAATAAATAAAATAAAAATCTTAAAAATATTAATAAAAATATAAATAAAAAATATACAAGGCACACAGGAGCGGGGAAGGACATGACGGTGCCAAGGCTTGAGTCAGAAGGACTTTATTCAGATCCCGGTCTATAGGGCATTCGCTCTGTGGCTTCATCCATAGCATGTGCAGCTTCTTCTTTTTTTAAAAAAAGAATATTATTTATTATTTCAAAAGTAGAGAAACTGAGACAGTCACAGAGAGAGCTTCCATCCCTGAGTCACTTCCTCAAATGCCTGCAACAGCCAGGGCCAGGCCTGGCTGATGCCAGGAACTCAATCCAGGTCTTCCATGTGGGTCACAGGGACCTGACAACTTGAGTCCTCACCTGCTACCTTGTACAGTGTGCATTAGCTGGAAGCTGCAATGGAAAGCATAGCCAAACACAGGATCTCTGATATGGAATGTGGGTGTCCCAAGCAGCATCTTTACTGTTGTAACCAAGCAACCACCTGCAGCTGCTTCTTTATGCTTTAGGATGTAGGGCTCTGCACATCAGGCAGATGGCATCCCAAATCCACGTGACAACACAGGATGCAAGCATCATTGTCTTCAAATAATCAAAAAAGATCAGAAAAACACACAGATGCCCCTCAGGGACAAAATGGGTAATAAAAATATTGGATGGTTTGTTTAAAGTTTGAGACCTGGGGCTGGCACTGTGGCATAGCGGGTAAAGCTACTGCCTGTAGCACTAGCATCCCATAAGGGCGCCTGTTCATGTCCTGGCTTCTCCACTTCAGATCCAGCCTCTGCTAAGGCCTGGGAAAGCAGCAGAAGATGGCTAAAGTCCTTGGGCCCCTGCACCTGTGTGGGAGACCCAGAAGAAGCTCCTGGCTCCTGGCTTTGGATTGGTGCAGCTCCAGCCATTGCAGCCATCTGGAGAGTAAACCAGCAGATGGAAGACACCTCTCTCTCTCTCTCTCTCTCTGCCTCTGCCTCTGCCTCTTTGTAACTCTGCCGTTCAAATAAATAATCTTTAAAAAAAAATAAAGTTTGAGACCTGGGGAGAAAAAAACTAGTTTATTAAATTAAATGTGGGGCACTAACAGATGGGTGCAATCAGAAATACAGCACAGGCTTAACTAAACCTCAGGTCTCACTGAGTGTGACATGCATTAATTTTTATATCTGAATTGGCTCTGAGATTGATACATTTTAGATAACCATCTAGGCATGCAGACAAGGTAACAGAGGTAAGAACTTCAAATTTAAGTTCATCTGCTCCATAGAAAAATGGTGGTCACATGGACAAAGAATATTCCAGTTATTATGTAATAATATTATTTAGGTAAACTTTTAAAAAACTAAAAATTTGATTTAGTCCATTATGTCAATTCCTTCCAGAAAGGTTACATTAAAATTTGTTTTTTCAAATGACTGCACAAATTCTTTTCATTTCTTTCACAACAAAAAGCAATTTTTAAACTATTCATAGATAAATATAAAAATCCTAGAAGTTAAACAAGTATGGGATTCTATTGGAAACAAAGAATGAATGAGTATACGGACAGAAACGAAGCCACAACAATCATGTTCTAAAGATTAAACACTACAGACATTTTTCCACGTAAGACAGATCCACAATAGAAATTACACCCATGTGTTTGATTTCACCTAGATGGGAGTGAAATAACACAGCTTTTGTTCTTGCAAAGTGATAAAGTCCATCAAGCCTTGTCACAGGTCAGTTTTAAAGTCAGTAATAAACAACCCTATCCAAAATAACTCCAACAGAATCACCTACTAAGTAGAGTTTCCACATTAATCCTAATGGTTTATGTTACACAACTTAGCTCAGTCAAAATTACACCTCAGTAAAAACGCAGTGCAAAGCTGCACAAGGTACTAGGTGTATAGATAGGAATTAAGGTCGCACATGGCAACAAGACTATAACTAAGATAATAACAACAAAAATAAAGCTACAATAAACTTCTCTTGGAAATCACAGTGAGAGATAATACAGCAGAGTAAAAGAGAGGGGGTTTGTGTTGCAGTCCTTTTTACACTGCGTAGCTGTGTGGTCCAGCAAGTTACTAAACCTCTCTGTGCCTCCATGTCCTCATCTCTGAAGTGAGAAGAATAGTAGAACCTCCTCATAAGCCGCAGCGCCTGGTATGCAGCACTCGGTAAGTCTTAGCTGTTGCAGATATTGTTATTCTTGTCATTTCACTAGCATCACTGTAGTATACAAAGAACATCCGTGTACAGTAGCATATGACTATTACTAACAGCTTACGCCATTACTTTGTAGAAATACTCAATGCATATGCTAACCACAGCACTTGTCAAATATACGGGGAGGGTATGATGCCCACCACCATCCTTTGGCTCTTTCTGATAAACCAGAAAGCAGCACAGAGTTCTATATAAATGGTGACTGCATGGATGCAGATGTTACAGATGGAATACTTGATCACAGTGTTCTGGATAGTTTAGATAGCATCTAGTTGTGCTACCATTATTTAAGTTTATAATTAGGATGTTACACTTGAGGCTCTGGGCTCAGTCAGGTTATACAACCTTCCCACATTACCATGGAGTCCACTCAGGTAGGCTGACTTCAGAGAGCACACCGGCACGCTAGCCCACATCCCACCACTGTTTCCCATGAAAACAGGCAATTGTGAAATGTTCCAATCACCTTGCTCATTAACAACAGAAGTAACCTGTATGCACTCCTCTCCCTGAAGGAAGACACACGCACACATTTGCTTTCCAGGAGCCATCTTTGCTCTTTCAAGGCAGCCCTCACCACTAGGGAGCAACCTTCTTTCCTTGTACTTCTAGAATCCTAGTCTACACATTTACTGTAAGTGTGTACGTATACATATAGGCTAAATAATTCTATCCCAGTCACTGAAAAAAGTCCCCCCAAGGCTGGCACCGCGGCTCAACAGGCTAATCCTCCGCCTTGCGGCGCCGGCACACCGGGTTCTAGTCCTGGTCGGGGCGCCGGATCCTGTCCCGGTTGCCCCTCTTCCAGGCCAGCTCTCTGCTATGGCCAGGGAGTGCAGTGGAGGATGGCCCAAGTGCTTGGGCCCTGCACCCGCATGGGAGACCAGGAGAAGCACCTGGCTCCTGGCTTCGGATCAGCGCGATGCGCTGGCTGCAGCGGCCACTGGAGGGTGAACCAACGGCAAAGGAAGACCTTTCTCTCTGTCTCTTTCTCTCACTGTCCACTCTGCCTGTCAAAAAAAAAAAAAAAAAAAAGTCCCCCCAAAATGCTCCTTTCACTAACAGCACCAGCATTATTTGTATCAGAGTTCTTAACAATGCACGTCAGTAATCCAGAAATCCTAAATGCTACCCAAAAGCTATATGCATATAAGCAAACGCATTTTCCTCACTTGCAAAATGAATGCATTCATCAGATTAATCAAAAGGCCTCCAAAATGTTAAAATTATTCATTTAGCAGAGTTCCTCTCAAGACAAATTCCATCATGATAATAATTTCAGATTCCTTAGGTTCTCAAACAGAATATGCTCTACAATTGAATGCCTTAGGATTCCATGCCAGTCTGTCAGTAAAATTCCTAAGGGACAGAATTCCAGATGAAGAAGGAGAAGACCTGTTCCAGCAGAAATTCCCTGGATAGGTGACCTTGGAGAAAGCACTTACCGTTTTTGGACTTAATTCCACAATCTGAAAATCGTTGTGTTTTAAGAGCTAGTTTCAGGGTTGTCTCCCCCACTCAATGACACTCTCTCTATAATCGTGTATGGTGGGTAATATACCACACATGTAATGTCAAATAAAAGTTACTTAGGCCACTTACATCACTAATTAGTTCGGTGCATTTTTTAGCCAATTCCATGCTCAGGTCTTCAATAACAGGCTTAAAGAACACCTGTTCAAAAAAAGGAAAGAGAACATTTTTCTCACTACCAGTTTACAGGAACAAATATCAGGCTTGGGTAGCTGCTTTCTCACTCACCTTGTCTTCTTCATTTTCTTCTTCCCCTGTTTTTTCCTCTTCAGTTTCATCTTTTACATCCTCCACTAAAGGGACTTTCATTTTTACCCTTTCAAAACACCTGTATTTTAAAAATCCACGTGTGCAGTGTCTGCTGGGGCCCGCACAGCCCGGCTCTCTGGGTGCAGGAGGCGCTGTGGCAGGAATGACCTTGCCCAGTTCCCGCTCTATTTAGCTCGCACTTCACTCTCCTTATCTCAGTGGTGTGTGAGTGAGTGGACAGCATCCCAGAGGTCTGCAGGGCTAGCCCCACAAGTACAAACAACGTGTTCTTGGGCAGAATTCAATTTTATGAATTTTGAAAGTCAACATTCTTTAAACTGGTTAAGAAATTCTAAAGAGGAAATTTATTTATCTTTCACTGACTCAACTCATTCATAAGATAGTCTGAAATGGACTTAAAGATTCTTGGAAAACTACTTGGCTGTAACACTTAAGATAGCACAGTCAAATGCCTGTTATCACAAAGATTCCTCAACTCCATCTAAATAAAGCTGTAACTGGAATGTCAGACATAACTCTGATTGGTTACAGTGACTCTGGATCATTCAAACTCATTTCACTAACTTAAATTAAATGTTTTATAAGACATACACATATTTCTCTCATCTTAAAAACTACCCACTTTATATGAGCTGATTAAAGGCTAGTAATTTATTATGAAAAGCCTTTTGTACCACTTGAAAGAATCTATCCTGAATTAATTATGACTGTTAATCTTATATTGGTGAGTGTTATACTAATTGTAAACATTATTAAACATGAGAAGCAGCAATTAACATGCTGATGTATCATTTAAGAATCCAAAAACTCCCATATCTCAAAAAATAATCATCATCCTCTTTACATTCTACTCATCTTGTCAGTTTTTACAATTTTACTAGTTATTTGTATATTCTTCAATGCATCCTACATACTTGGAAAACTTTGGAAAAATAATCACAGTATATATATTGTGGCATGTGTCATAATTTATATAATTAAAGATCTATTTCTCAAAATCCTTTAATGTCAAGATTCTATACAACTTAAATTTATTAATTTGGTTACTAAAGTCCTAGGATACATTAACATCTACACAGCCACAGCATACCAATGTTGGACATAAAAAACACCCTATGGTGAATAATGGAGCTAATTATATAAAATACAACTTCATACAAAATAATACGTCATCTGAAGCAGTCAAAGATAATACTGTTTTCTTCTTAGATTATAGTTTTCAATTTATTTTTAGAAATGCATTTGGCCCTCCCTAAACTGAAAATTCTGTCAAGAGAAACATTCCTCACAAGCATGAAGTAGGAATGATTTCCCAGGCAGAATTCCATGGAGCCAAGGAACACTTAAGGTGGGGAGTGGGTTTCTTAAACAAACACATTTGGGACACCTTGGCACTAATCTCTCTCTGCCACTTGGAGAACCACATGGCACACTGACCCATGAGAAGTTCTGAGAAGACCCTCAACCAAAAACCCCATTTTTGTTTGCCTAACCAAATATTTCTAAAACATGAATTCTATCCATTTTATTACATCAAATGTATCTATCCATCTTTGTTTTTCAATGATAGCCACTGCCACAGAAAACTAACACATTTCTGTAAAATATTGCTTATTACTTAGGAAATATTTTGCTCTATTCTAACAAAATACATGGTGTGAAAGAGTGGCAGGTGTTGTCGTGAAAGAGTTTTTGATAACAGGCTAAATGAATAGCACCACATATTCTGCTTACCAGCAAATGACAAAAAGAAATTGCTCCAGCATGTTGAATATGGAAATCTTAACTTTAAGATAACAGCTCTGCACAGCCACAATAGCAGATACAAGGAAATTATTTATATATATTATATTTCTATCATAAAAGGGGAGAATTGCGAACCCTGATTGTTTCCCTCAAGTTCTCTGCCCAAGATAATTCCAATACTTGATAGAAAACCTGTGATACCACTTTTGTAAACAGAAAGCAGAAATTTCTAGAAACTTTTCTTATCAACCTCTCGAAGTATAGGGGAAAACCTCGCCAAAACTGTCTAAGACATACCTCTTGGTTTGTATGTGAAGTGACAATTCTTGGGTTACTCATGGCCACATCTATTCCCCATGGCGAATCACCTTCATCAGGCATGAAGGGCAGCTGTTTTCTTATTTCCCATCACGTAGCATGCTTTTATTGACTCTTCACTGCACTGGAGAAAATTATCTGTTGAGATTTAACGTGCCAAAGTTTTGAAAGAGAAACTAAACACAATGTACAATGTGAACAAAAATTTTCCACTGTGATTTGAGAATCAGAATTTTAAAGCAAATGGGATCTGTAAGAAATCAAGACACCTAAAACCCTCTCTCTTTTACAGAGGAAAAAATTAAGGCCAAAAGAAATCAATTCTGTTTCAACTGCGAAGTTGTTCAATGGAGTACTATGCTCAGAATCTAGCCAGAGCACTGTGCTCATCTATCCAGTACATGAGTGTTGTCATGGTAGGTGCTTGGGGTTAGAGATATAACAGTGACTACAACATACTTTGTGCTTAATTAGGTAGGGAATAAAAATCCCATCATTCAGGACTTGCTGGATGAACTCTTTAATGGACTGTTTGGCAAGCTCTGAAACACCATTACTTTTGATTGAATACATCTTTTTTCCTTTCACCTATAAGTGTACTATAAAATTCATGTAAAGTTTTCTCTAAAACATTTTAAGCCCTGCACTTTATCATAGCAAAGCTCTCTTGTCAATAGGTCTACAACCTGACTTGGGAAATAAGAAGAAAGTGTTCTTCATGGATAGCTATCACATGTCAAAACTCCCTATCAATTTTTTTTTACAAAAAAAAAAGTTTAATGTTGTATTTTAATACATATTTTTGCCTTGGAGCACTCCCAAAGGGAATATCTATGTAGCTGCTAATCCCTTTCACTTATTGAGCACTTCATTTATGTTGTCTACATTTTTAACTTCATACTCTACCCATGCCTCATTGCAGAAAGAAACCAAGCTGGGGACTACATTACCGATGACCAGACTCTCAAAGTCCAGGTTCAGCTCCATCACACACTTAAGAGAACATTACACAACCTTCCTTTGCCTCTAATTTCCCGTAGTGAAAGAGAAAAAAACTGAATGTCAGAAGTTAACAAAAGAAAATAACCTTAAAAATTATAAAGTCTCCCTTACATACACAAGATTTTTCAACCACCCCACTAATGGCACACAGTGAAGGAGTTAGGGAGTTGTCATCTCAAAATATGCTGAACACCGCTATATCAGAAAGGGCCATTGGGTCTTTTTCTACATGCAGCCAAACACTAAGCCTTACTCACCAGAGACTCATATGAATCGGAATAAACTGTGTCAAGTCACACTCATGTTCCACTAGCTTCCACATCTCCACCTCAGACATCTCTAGGCAATGTCGCTAGAATTTACTATCCTACTCCAGAGATACAGGTGTCCCATCATTCCTCCACAAATGTGTTGCTCTTTGTCCAAAAAAAAAAATCACACAATCATCATACTTTGGTCATTTCTTTGCACCTCACTCTCTTGGGAAGATCCCTATGTATATGTAATTTAAATAACCTTTCATATTTTCCTCTCACTAATCAGCGTTTATACTAATTGGGCTTCTGTATCAAACCAAGAGTCCACAAAAGAACTAAGGAGTGTAGAGCGAATCTTTCACTCCCCTACGGTACTTATGAAAAAAGCCCTGGGTAGGAAAGAGTATTCTCATTGAAAGGGTCTTGAACATCAATATTGTTTTTAAAAAGTCTTAAAACATAAAATTGTATACATAAAATTGTACATAGTTACGGTGTACCCAGTGGTGTTCTGATACACTTATGCAACTATCATGTATATGTATGCATTGTGTAATGTCTAAACAGGGTAAATATATGTATCTCCTCAAACATTTAACTTTATATCATAAAAACATTCAAAATCCTGTCTTCTAATTTTTTTAGAGAAATATACAGCACATTATCATTATCTATAGTCACCTGCTGTACAACAGGATCCAAGAACTTCTTACTCCTATCTAACCATAATCTTTCACCCTACCCCTCCCCAGTCTCTGGCAAGTACAATTATACTTTTAAACTTCCCCATGAGATTTTCTTAGATTCTGTGTACGAGTGAAATCATGCCTTACTTGCTTCATGTGTGTGTACGTGTGTGTTGGGCTTGCTTCTCTTAACACAACAACCTCCAGTTCCACTGAAATTAATAAGATTTCAGCTTTTGATGGCTGAGTACTATTCCATTGTGCATATGTACCACATTTTCTATATCCATGGATAAGTGGATAGACACTTAGGCTGTTTCTATTTCTTGGCTATTGTAAATAGGGCAGCAATAATCATGGGAATACAGATGTCTGCTCAACAGATGGATTTCATCTTCCTTGGCTGTATACTCAGGAGTGGGATTGTAGTGGGATGGTAGTTCCATGTTTAGTTTTTAGGGGAACCTCCATGTTGTTTTCCACAAAGGCTAGACTAACGTACACTCCCACAAACAGTGCACAAATATCCTCTGTGCTCAACATATGCCAGCATTCCTTTACCTTTTGTCTTTTTGATAACAGCCAATCTAACTGGAATGAGGTGATATCTAGTTGTGCGGCCTGATGAGTAATGTTGAGCATATTTTTCATGTACCTGTTGACCATTTGTATGTCTTCCTTTGAGAAATGTCTATTTACAACTACCAAACATTATTCTGATTTTTTTTCTGTTGTTGGGTTCTCCATATAGTCTGGTTATTAACCCCTTGTCAGATATATAAATAACAAATATTTTCTCCCATTCTGTAGGTTGCCTCTTCATTTCCCTGATTATTTCCTTTGCTATGCACAAACTCTTTAGTTTTATGAAATCATCTTTATCTATTTGTGCTTTTGTTTCCTGTGCTTTTAAGTCTACTCCAAAAGAAAAATCCTTGTCCATTCCGAAGTCCTGAAGCATTTCCCCTACTTTTCCTTTTCATAGTTTCAGAGTTTTAGGTTCTACATTTAGGTCTTTAATCTATTTTGAATTGATTTTTGTTAACGATGAGAGCCTAGAACTGCACTGTGGTCTTCCACATGGGTGGTAGGGGTCCACGTACTTAGGCCAGCTTCTGCTGCTTTCCCAGAAGCATTAGCAGGGAGCTGGATCAGAAACAGAACAGCCAGGACTCGACCTGGAGATCATACAAGATGCTAGCATTGCAGGCAGCAGTTTAAACCCTAGTTTCTTTCTTCTACATCTCTGGATATACAGTTTTCCCAGCCTCATTTATTGAAAAGAATACCATTTTCCAATGCATGCTCTCAGCACCTTTGTCAAAGAGCAGTTGCATGTAGATACCTAGGTTTCCTACTCAGGTCTCTGTTCTGTTTCATTCTTCTATGTATCTTTTCTCATGGTAATGTTATATATTATAGCATTATAATATATTTTAAAGCCAGGTAGTCTAACGTGTGTGACTTTGAGTTTTTTTTTTTTCCTTAAGATTACTTTGGCTATTCGGGATGTTATACAAAATTCAGTTGTGTTTTTTTCTAGTTCTGTGAAATATGTCATTGGTATTTGGTAGGAATTGCCCTGAATCTACTAATTATTTTTTATGGACTTTTAAAAAAAGATTTATTAACTTATTTATTTGGAAGGCAGAGTGACAGAGAGAGAGAGAGAGAGAAATAGAGTAGTATGGATATTTCAACAATCTTTTTTCTTCCAATCCATGAATACAGGATGTCTTTTTGTTTCTTTGAGTCCTCTTCAATTTCTTCCATCAACGATTTATAGTCTTCATGGTAGAAATCTTTCACTTTGATTAAATTTATACCTAGGTACTTTATTGTTTTTGTAGCCACTGGAAATTGACTGCTTTCTTGATTTCTTTTTTTCATATAATTTGCTATTGGTATATAATAACACTACTGATTTTTATATGTTGACTTTAAATCTTGGAACTTTGCTGAATTTGTTAGTTAATCCTAATAGCTTTTTAGTGGAGTCTCTGAGATTTTTTCCTATAAGCTCATATCATCTGTAAACAGTGACAATGTGATTTCCCTCCTTTCCAATTTTGATGTGCTTTCTTTTTCTGCCTAATTGCTCTGGTTAGTGCTTCCACTACTATGTTGAGTAAAAATGGTGAATGTTGGTATCTTTGCTTTTTCCAGATCTCAAGAGAGACATCCTCAAGCTTTTTCTCATTCAGTATGATTTTAGAGTTGTTGGTTTGTTATATATGACTTTTATTATAGTCCTTCCATATCTAATTTGTTCAAAGTTGGGTTTTTTTTTTTTTTTTGGCTTGAAGCAATGTTCAATCTTATCACCTGCATGTATTGAGATTATCACATGATTTTTGTCCTCCATTCTGTTGATGTAGTGTATCACATTTACTGATTTATGTAAACAGAACCATCCTTGCACTCCTGGGCTGAATCCCAACTGATTGTGGTAAATAATCTTTTTAATGTACTGTTGGATTTGGTTTGCTAGTATTTTGTTGAGGGTTTTTGCATCTATGTTCATCAAAAATATTGGTCTATAGCCTTCTTTTCTTCTAGTGTCCTTATCTGGTTTTTCTATTAAGGTAATGTTGGAGCAGGACTTTGGCATAATTGTTAAGATGCTGCTGAGGATGCCCACACCCCATATCAGAGTACCTAGGTTCAACTTTTAGCTCCAGCTCCTGACTCTAGCTTCCTGCCAATGCAGACCCTGGGAGGCAGTGGTGATGGATCAACCATTGGGTCCCTGTCAGCATGGGATTCCTAGATGAGTTCCCAGATGTAAGCTTTGGTCCTGGGTCAATGTAGGCATATGGAGAGTGAACCAGCAATGGGGGTTATCTCTCTTCTGTCATGTAAACAATAATAACAAGAAGAAAAATCATCAGACCCCGTTATACTTTGGTATTAGCAAATCTGTTCCCATGGCTGCTATCAGGTAGTTAGGTTTACGTCTCCAGAGACATAACTCCAAGGACACACATCTATGCCATCATCTCAATCACATAGTGCTTGACTGTCTTCAGGGTTCTTCAGGTCATGTGCAACAACTGTCTTCACGTTTTTGATGAATGTTTATAGCACAGCAGGTAAAGCAACCGCCTGTGATGCTTGCATCCCATATGGATGCTGCTCTGTGTCCCGGCTGCTCCACATCCCATCCAGCTCCCTGTTAATGGCCTGGGAAAGGCAGTGGAAGATGGCCCTGCCACCCACATAGTAGACCCAGATGAAGCTCTTGGGTCCTGGCTTTGGCCTGGCTCGGCCCTGACTGTTGCAGCCACTTGGGGACGAAACCAGCAGATGTAAAGATCTCTCTCTGTATCTCTCCACTTTCAGTCACTCTGACTTTCAAATAAATAAATATATCTTTTTTAAAAAAAGGAAGGAAACGTGTTTTTCTCCAACATGGTGACAACTGACTTGCAAATGAAAATGCAAAATAAACACTTGAACTAGATCAAGATTCAGTACTGAGTTAAAAAAAAAAAAACTTACAGCAATAAACTGATTTTTTAAAATTTAAAATAGTAATTCAACATTTCTTATAAAACATCCTAAACAATCAGGTGAGAGAAGAATTAGTTTGCCTGATTGTTTTCTTTTTGACAGCTTTTTCACACTCCTTTTTGTGCCTGGACTTCTATTTTTCATTGTTTTTTGAGGACTTTTCCCCAGGGGGCTCTTGCTTCTCACTTGAATCCCTAGTTACTTCACCTCAGCGGGGCATATTTACTCACCATTTGGCATCTGCCCCAAAGAGAACTTTACTAATGGATGAGGAAGGAGGAATAATTTCTCCCAACAAGAAAGGTAAGCACTCCAGGGCAATTTGTCATCTTTATAAAAGAGAAGAGTTCCGCTTAATATTTTAGCCCAATCTATGTTTATAATTTATACTCATTAACATATCTTCTCTTTTGTAATGGCTATTTCATTACTGCATTATTGCTCATTAATTAGAAATAAAAAGAATACATCAATAATTATGCTATTAAAACAAGATCTCTAGTGTTTTCCTACAGTTGTATTCTGATTTTCACAAATATAGAACCTACTCACAAATGAGAACTACATAACTAGATGATATTGGAGGGAAGAAAAGAACAAGCAACTGCAAATAATTTTGGGCACCAAAATTTCCAGGTTGAATGTTGTTGGGAGGCCAAAAATTAAGACTATGCGGTCTACTTCTAGAGAGAGGCGAAAGTAATCTTGTTCAATGTCTACATGAACAAAAGCATTCACTAAACTGCAAGACTGTGGGTTAATCCGCAACTCCCCTGAGCCGTTAGTTGGATTTTCATTAAGGATGAGCTAATTCCATAATCACTCCTGCAATCCTCACTGCCGGGAAAAGCCCAAGGCTTGAGTGGTCTGCATGTGGCTTTCAATCAGATCCACAGGGTCAGGCAGGCCCAGACTCCTGAAAAAGCATCCCTTTGCTGGAGTTGTCAGAGAGCTGTGTCAGGCATAACTGAAGACTTCGAAACTGGCACCTACATTCAAATTACTGGCTTCTTATCTAATGTTCCCTTTGGGGATATACCAGTCTTTCATTATCTTTAAACTCCTTTACAATTCCATAAATTGTTGAAAATAGATAACAATATAATTCTTATCCATAGAAATGCAAATTAATTGTGTCCTGGGGAAAGCAATTGATCACTGCCTGCAGATAGGTCCTTTCTGCATCTATTTGTAAATTAATTTCAGCTTTCCTTATTACTCATTTATGTGTGGCTCTTGAAATTCACCTTTGAACCAACTGCACCATCTTACAGATGCCCTCATTTATTAATAAATTAAAAATCTCTGAAATGTGTTTATGTTTTATGACAGTAATGATTTTGCCATTTAAAAACATCCTTTAACAAATGCAAATGATTATTTAATTATCCTCATTGTTGGAGAAAGCTCTCTTCTCTCAATTGTGAAATATAGCTGTAAAAATTGTTAGTGTTTATTGAAATCAGCTTTTTGTTTTGTTTTGTTTTCAGGTCTGGTCTTATTTGACTATTGGCAAATGCCATATGTGTGCCTGCCTATACGCACATTCACACATCACACACACACGCACACACTCAAGCAGAGTTCATTCATTACAGCTGCCAGCTTCCGCCTGAAAAGCATAAAGGCTTCAATAAATGCAAAGAGCTAATTACTCCCCACATCTGGAAAAACTTGAATATGAGAGTGGATGTATTGAAGCAGCTCTTCGTTTGGCTGTCAACACTGTACCCTGAGCCAGAAAGAGAGCAGGCTTGATCACTCTTGGCAATTCCTTAACCCATTCCGAGATATAGATGATATGCCAATTAATTCATAACATGTCCTGTTTACATGATTTATGAATTCCATGAAAACACAGTAAAGTAAATAATTTCTTAGTAATTTATGGAGAAAAGCTGTTTTTGTCATATTTCCAGGAGGAAAAAAACATTATACATTAAAATATGGCAAGAATAATGACAACCTCATAGTCAAGGAAATAAAGAGGCTTTCGGGGATTGTACAGCATACTGAGAACAATAACTTCCATCAACACATGTAAAATTAGACAATTTGGCACTCTGTGGAGAAAATGTAATAATGCTTCTAAAAGGAAATCAGGAGCGCTATATGGGCTCATAGCAAGATTTAACAGAAGCCAAGAAATGGGTAGATCTCCCCTAGAAAAGAGTATGTAAGCTGGACTTCGGCAAATTGGTGGGTTATAAGGAAGGCATCCAAAGACCATTTGCCATGACCTAGAGACAAGAGTGGGAGGGACCATAAGTTCAGTGTCAGTGGAACAGAAAATAGGAGTGACAAGAACTGAGAATCAGGAAGCAGTCAGAGACCCCAGGGGAGAGCCTGATGTGAATGTATGGAAATCGCTTAACCTAACACAAAAAGCTTAAGTTGGTCTGAACCCTGAAGACCTGTTCAACCATTTGGAAGCAGCAACCTAACAGCTTCCCTATTCCCTCTATGTGCCTTGAATTTGGTTTTTACCCACTTTGTGCTATCATTTGCCAACTGACGTACTCCTCGTATCTCTGGAGTTCATGAAAATTCTTAGTGAAAAATGTATTTCCAGGTTTATAAATCTAGTGAAAAAAATATGCAAAGGAAATCATTTGTATTATGCTTGCCCAGAAATAAATGAAATTTACAATAAATATGTTTGCAATATAAACTTCATACCTTCACATTTTCACAAATTCAATTTTATTTTTTAAAATTTTTATTTATACTCACTTTATTTGAAAAGTGGAGAGGCCAGTGTTGTGGTGCAGCAGGTAAAGCTGCCAGCTGCAACACCAGCATCCCAATATGAGCACCAATGCAAGTCCTGGTTGCTCCATTTCTGATCCAGCATCCCTGCTGATGCACCTGGGAAGGCAGCTGAAGATGGCCCAAGTACTTGGGCCTCTGCCGTCTATGTGGGAGACCCAGAGGAAGCTCTGGGCTCCTGGATTTAGCCTGGTCCAGCCCTGGCCATTTGTGGCCATTTGTGGGGTGAACCAGAAGATGGAAGATTTCTCTCTCTCTTTCTCTCTCTCTCTCTCTAACTTGGGCTTTCAAATAAATAAATAAATCTTGAAGGAAAGAAAGAAGGTTGGCAGGTAGGTAGGTGGAAGAAGAGACAGAGAAAGAGAAACATCTTTCATCCACTGGTCAACTTTCCAAATGTTTACCACAACCAGGACTGAGACAAGCAGAAGCCAGGAAGGAGCCTTGAATTGCTTCCCTGTCTCTCCCACAAGGGTGGCAGAGACCTAGGTATGTGAATGATCATCTGCTGTTTCCCAGGGTGCACATTAGCAGGAAGCTGGATGGGAAACTGAGTGGCTGGGATGTGTTCTAGGCACTCTAGATAGGGAACACAGGTGCCTCAATGGCATCCTAACTACTTACTACACGCTTGCCCCACTATCACAGTTTTATTATTGAAATGCACCTCTTTCTTCTATCCTACTAAGTAAATGATGTCAGTGTCTCTACTCAAACCTTAACCATTACACTACTAACATCTACATTCACTGAATTCACTGAAGATTTCTTCCATCCTGAAGTCATGATTTCATTAAACATTAAGCCAGGAAAACACAATTTATGGTCACACAAATTCAGTACTTTTGAAATGTTAATTTCTGAGTCTTATTCCAATTATTTCCATAGAGGTTTTTCATGTGTAACTTAAAGAACAGTAGCAAAATAAAATCATAATGAAGTAAATATGTCACTGAACACTATAAAGTCGGAGATGCTTTAAACTAATTGATAGTGTGAGGACTGAGATCTTGTCTGAAATATACTGGTGACCATTTCTCTCTAAGGACTTTGTTTCTGAGCATGGATATGCGTGTGTGTGTTTCTAGCTATATTCACTTTTTATCAAATATTTCTCGTGTGCACTCTATGGGCTGGGAACTATTTCAGTCTCTTCAGACAAAATCCCTATCCATCTCCTCTCTTTCAATCATACATTCATTCCTCAAACGAGCATCTACTTCATACCACACTATGAACTGAGGTATTTTATATGACTTTTTCATACTAAGCGTTTGAGAGCCAGTATATTTTAACTCTATAATTTCAGCACATTTCTATTCAGACTAGCCACACTGTAAGTACTCAGTGGTCCAGTGTGGACAGTGGCAAACAAAGTGGACAGGACAGCCTTTGAGTAATTACAGACCAGAAAGTATTAACTATTTTTCAATTTAATTGTATAGATCTTAAATATGGAAAATACTTTGAAAATTAAACTTCTTAAAGATGATGATTTCAGAATCCTAATAAGGAAGCAATAAAATTTGCAATCTATTTTAATTTTCCAGACCTAACGAAATCAGTCTTCTATGTAAGAATGCACCTTATTAAAAATTTAAATTTTCATTATAAATAATGAACTCTTTAAATTATGTTTTAATTAAGTTTAACAGAGGTGTATTTTCAAAATGCTATCTTGTTTCATTAATGAGAATGACAGAGTTCCAACAGTTTTCAGGATAAATATTCACTCTTTAATTCTCTATCTATATAGCAAAAAGTACAAATAGTGAAGTAACCTCCTTTGAAATTCACATTTTTAACACATATTTCTGAATTTAAAATATACCAGCAATTATTCCTCAGTTTGGCCAAGTAAATCCTTTTAAACCATACTGGAGAGCCATGGCACTGTGAGGTATCAGATTCAAATAATAAAACCTAGTGCATCATGTAAAGAATGAACGCGCTTCAGTGACATGAGCTTCCTGTTTTAGAGCAACCGTACATTCTCCAACACTCAATGGAAAAGATCTCACGCCATGAGACAACAACAGGATTTCTTGTTTCTGCTCCATAGCAGCTTCTCTCCTGGACGGAGTCAGCCAACAAATACTTCTCAGTTACTGGAATCTTGAGTAACAGCCAAATGCAGTGAAGTGCTCTGTATCCACGACCACTGCCGCACAATCTGAAGGCCTGCAATTTTATGTATGTCATCCCTCATGCACGTTCTGCTGCCAATTCTGGAAAAAGATGAACTAAGTAGCATGGAGAGAGGCAGTCACAAACTCTTACAGGATGCTTCTGCTGCCCTCCAGCAGGCACCAGGAGAGGACACAAAAGGGTGATCAATGTACAGACAAAACCCCCCTTTAATCCCCATAACATCCATTTCACAGAGGAGGCCCCTGGGACTTACAGTGATGGCCTGCCCAAGTTTTCATAGTAAGGGATTCCATTTGTGCCAAACCTACTAGACCACAGGCCAACAGAACACTGAACAACTTTCCTTTCTTTCTGGTGTGATACTATCATTTTCTATCGAATTCAAGAAACTTTCCTGCTTTTCATTCATTAATGGTATTTATAAGCGATAGTGAGCTGCTAAATGGTTAACCATCATCTGTCCCAGGGTTTAAAATTCTTTTAATTAAAAAGTTCTTTAATTAAAAAAATAAAAGCCTCACTCTGCAACTTTGCACAATCTGCTCTAGTAAGCTGATATGGGCCTGTGCCACACAGCACTGCAAGCTATGTCTTCAACAAAAGCCTGTCTAATGTTCAATGGACCAAGAAATGCCAATCAACTTGCAAGACTAAGCTTCTAAATCTTAAATCAGGCATTTCAAGATATACAATTATGTGTCAATGCTATTCTATTCCTTATCTATTTGTTGATGAAATAATTTTAAACAGAAATACTGCAACCTTACTTTGCAGCACTCTTTCTGCTGATCACTATACATTGAGATGATAAACTTTATGCCTGTTGTGCTCTTGGCGACTATTCAGATACATGCATGATACTGCACACACAGAGATGAAACAAACAGCTACCGAGCTGCTTTGACACTCAAAAGGATCTGTTAGTTTGTTTTACATGGCATCCAGTATGTAAAAAAAATTAGAATATAATAAACGCTCACTGAGGATGGTACTATAGTAGTAACTTTCACCTATGGGGACACTTCAAAAAGTTAATAGAAGTCAGAATTAAAAGGTAAGTTTATTTGGGTGCAAAAAAAATTTAAATCCAGGCATTTGAGTTGGCTCCAAAAGATCATAGAAAATGCATTTTGGGGGGGAAGAAACTATATATAGCTTTCAAAAAAAATTTTGCAGCAAAATAAACATCTCTTAATTAGATTAAAATTTTCCATGAACTTTTTGAAGATTTCTCATATGCACTAATTTAAACAATGAAACAAATCTAGTTTACAGAAAAACTCAGGAATTTTCACTGCTTTGCAAAATATGAGAAATTTATCCCGAAATATTAGAGCACCAAAATCTGTATAAGGTCTGTATACAGTCTGTATACAGATTTGTATAACAGTTAATTCATATACACTTAGAACCGAAAGTGAAAAAGTCATTTAATACTTTAAAAATGAATATCTTCTACCTATTCCTTGTAAAGCTAATCATTTTAAAAGCACAGAGAAATGTCTTTATAGTTTTCTGTAATGAACTATCCAAAAAAGAGTACCTTTAAAAGCATAATCCTAATATGAGGGTTTTTTACATCAAAATTTTTAACAATGATCTGTTGAAAAGGAGGCATTTTTGCTGATATCCAATGAAGTAGAAAGGATACCTTTATTCATAATTTTAACTAAACTTGGATATTAAATGAATATGCACATAATTCAATGAAGCATTTTTCGCTACAGAAATATCATTCAGGGCTGGTGCTGTGGCATAAGTAGGCAAAACATCTACGGGCTGGTACCAGCATCCCATATGCATGCCAGTTCGAGTCCTGGCTGCTTCACTTCGGATCCAGCTCCCTGCTAATGGCCTGAGAAAGCAGTAGAAGATGGCCCAAGCGCTTGGGCCCCTGTACCATTGTGGGAGACCCAGAAGAAGCTCCTAGCTCCTGGCTTCAGATAAGCCCAGCCCCGGCTGTTGCAGCCAATTGGGGAATAAACCAGCAGATAGAAGACCTCTCTCTCTCTCTGTGTGTGTCTCCCTCGCTCCATAACTCTGCTCTCAGTAAATAAATGAATATTTAAAAAAAAGGAGGGGCCAGCGCTATGGCATAGTGGGTAAGACTGCAGCCTGCAGTGCCACCATACCATATGGGTGCCAAATTGAGACCTGGCTGCTCCACTTTTGATCCAGCTCTCTGCTATGGCCTGGGAAAGCACTGGAAGATAACCCAGGTCTTTGGGCCCCTGTACCCTCATGGGAGTCTCGGAAGAAGCTCTTGGCTCCTGGCTTCAGATCAGCATAGCTCTGGCCATTGCAGCCATCTGGGAAGTGAACCAGCCAGATGGAAGAACAACCTCTCTCTCTCTCTCTCTCTCTGCCTCTCTGCCTCTCTGTAATTCTGCCTTTCAAATAAATAAGTAAATCGGGAGGGGGAGGGGCAGGGGAGAGGGAGAAGAGGAGAGGAAGAGAAATATCACTACCGGTGCTTTTAGATCAAGGTTAAACTTTGGTTCCTAAGATTTAAGGACACTGTATGTGCCATTTCCTTTCTTAATTCCTTATAGTATTTACATCATTTTCTCTTATACAGAGTTAAAGAAAAATAAGATATTAAATTAATCATGGTAAATATACTGCATCATTCTACTTTAGACATAGTATTCATAAGTGTGAATTTTTTTAAAATTAGAATAATTTTACATTTTAATAACAAATCTTAGGAGAGTTTTTTTTTGTTTTGTTTGTTTGTTTGTTTGTTTTTGACAGGCAGAGTTAGACAGTGAGAGAGAGATAGAGAGAAAGAGAGAAAGGTCTTCCTTTTCCGTTGGTTCATCCCCAAGTGGCTGCTATGGCCAGCGTGTTGTGGCTGGCACGCTGTGCTGATCCTATCTAATTGCTCATTAGGAGATAAGAATTTCTATGATAGGGTCAATTATTTATATTATAAACCTAACCAGCGCTGTGGTGTAGAGGGTAAAGACACCACCTGCAGTGCTGGCATGCCATATGGGCACCAGTTCAAGTCCTGGCTGCTCCACTTCCAATCCAGCTCTCTGCTATGGCCAGGGAAAGCAGTAGAAGATGGCCCAAGTCCTTGGGACCCTGCACCCACGTGGGAGACCTGGAAGAAGCTCCTGGCTCCTGGCTTCAGATTAGCACAGCTCCAGCCGTTGTGGCCATTTGGGGAGTGAACCAGCAGATGGAAGACCTCTCTCTCTGCCTCTCCTTCTCTGTCTGTGTAACTCTTCCAAAATAAATAAATTTTTAAAATTAAAAAAACCCCAACAAGAGAAACAAAACAAAAGAACAAAACAAAACAAAAAAAAAGAAACAAACAAAAGAACAAAAGTGAACCTTCCGGGATAGAGTTGAAGACTTTATAATAAAGAAAACTACATATGATTTTATGTTTCAAGTTGCTCTTTATTTGATTTATCTACTTTAAGCTGAGTGTTTTGTTTTTGTCTCTTTTCTTACTTTTCTAAAACACAACTACAGATCTCTGTTAAACATAGGAGTGGGAATAAGAGAGGGAGGAGATATATAGGTTGGCACATGCTCACTCGGACTTACCTCCAATGGTGGAACTAGAAATGTGCCAGGGGATTTCAACTCAATCTTACCAAGGAGGCAGGTACCAATGCCAGCGCACTTGGTAAAGTGATAAGTATAAATACACAACAGATCAAAAAGATAGGGTATGTGTCGATGAGATTTCACAAATAAGACCAGTGTAAGCAAATAATGAAGGATAGAATTAAAAGGGAGAGAATGATCCTGCGGGGGAAACAGGACACACAGCAGACTCATAGAATGGCAGCACTCCTGCCTCAGAATCAACCATTGGGACATTCGGATCTGGCTAAAAGGTCCATGAGAGTCTCACAGGCATGGAAAGCCATGACATGGTGGCAAAAAAAACAATCTAAATGAAAGATCCTGGTGAACAAGACCCCAGTGGAAGGAACAGGCCATCAAGGAGGGAGGCGCCTTTCTCTGAAGGGAGGAAGGAACCTCCACTGTGATATGGCCTTGACTAAACAAGTTCAGAGTCAATGAACTCAAAGGGCTTCCATAGCCTCGACAGCTCATGGCAAGAGTCTCTGGTGATTGCTGACGTCATAAATAAGAGTGCCAATTGCTAAATCAACAACGGGAGTCACTGGGTACATGCTCCCCATGTAGGATCTCTGTCCTTAATGTGTTTTACTATGAAACTTAAAAACAACACTACTAGTCAAACAATACCCTATACCTTGTGCGGTTGTGTGAGTACAGCCTGTTGAAATCCTTGCTTAGTATATACTAAGTTGATCTTCAGTATATGAAGGTAATTGAAAATGAAACTCGATGAAGGGCGGGATGGGAGAGGGAGTGGGTGAGGGGAGGGCCACGGGATGGAGGGAGGTTGGGGGGGGGAAGCCACAACAATACAAAAGTTGCACTTTCTAAATTCACATTTATTAAATAAAAAAATACTATATATCAAACAAACAAAAGAATAAAAAAGAACTTAATACTTTACCCTTTTAGTATTTTTTATGTTCTACTTAAAACTATTGGTTGAACTCTGTAATTAATACACAACTACTCTTAGGTGTTTAATTAATGCTATAACTAGTACTCAAATAGTATTTTACACTTTGTGTTTCTGTGTGGGTGCAAACTGTTGAAATCTTTACCTAATATATGCTAAATTGATCTTCTGTATATAAAGATAATTGAAAATTAATCTTGATGTGAATGGAAGGGGAGAGAGAGTGGGAGAGGGGAGTGTTGTGGGTGGGAGGGAAGTTATGGGGGGGGGAGCTATTGTAATCCATAAGCTGTACTGTGGAAATTTATGTTCATTAAATAAAATTTTTTAAAAAATAAAAAAAAAATAAAAATAAAACAAAACTACAGTGAGTCACCCGTTTAAATAAGCTGTCTTTGTTCAAATATTCTAAAGTTAAAACACTTATAATTCAAGGGCTAAACAGTTTTCAAAACATCGCCAGAAATATATCTTTTAAAGTGTAGGACCTAGTTGCCCCCTTAGCACAGTGGGCAGCACGTAGTCTCACAAAATGCACGACCAGCTTCTATGATATTTGTATTTCAAAGACAGAACCAATTATTATATTTGAGACCAATGATTTTAACGGATTTGAACTCTGCAATAATGGGCTTCCACACAAGTTCTTTTGTTGTACTCAAAAAATAAAAAGCATAGGTAAAATAGCATGAGGGTATAATCCACAATGAGTTGATGGCAGAATTTTATTCTGCCACTGTGACTGACAAGATGACAAGGATGATCAAGGACAGAGAAGATATGAAGCCCACTAGGTCCTCAACGCACGAGCTTTAGTCACGGAGACAGCATTTGGAAAAGGGCAAGCAGGAAGCACACTGGTGTGAGCAGCGGAAGAAAGAAAACCCCATAGAGAGTCCTAAGACCTGGGTTCAAAAGCCCCACTTCGTACAAAAGTAGACAAGCCTTTCTAGTTCTAAGATTGGCTGATTGCCAATTTATCTGCTTATTTACTGTACATTATGGTGCAAGGGATCAAAAGATGAAAACATCATCTATTAAATTCTTTTGTCAAACATTTACTATTTGTTGTTGCTGCTGTTCTTTGTTTTGGCCAAAGAGGAACAGAATTAATCTATGTTAAACAGCGGTTACCAAGGTAAGTTCTTCATCTATCTTATCTCATGAGATAGTCATAAACTCTCTGGAAATCAAATACTATCAGGATCTCCCAACTGAAACTCAAAAGTAGCATTAACAGGATCTGAGACAAGATCTTCTACACATTTATGTAACATCTCACCACACATGCCTGTTGTGTACGTTCAACACTGTGATATCATATGGCTGAAATCCACTTCTTACAAATTCCTTTTGTATTATGACCACAGCTCAAAGCCTAACCAAGCGTGACTGAATGGTTAATAAAGTACAGGACATTTATAAAATCCATTCCTATATACATCAAAGTATTTTTAACTGTTATAAAATCACAGCCTTTAAACACTCCAAGGACATTCTCATACTCTAGTTTTAAAACTAGAACATGAGCTCCAGTACATACATATAAGTGGATTCCCTATGAACATAAAACAGAGATGCACTCCCAAGGTAAGAGAAATCATTAGTGATGTAGTTACTCTTAGTATATTCATAGCTACGTGTTCCAAAATCGATATAAACATAATCAGTGGGAAATTAAATTCTGATAAAGCCAAGAGTTTGGCTTTGAAAAGCTTCTAGGCATTTATCTCTGCAATGATCTCATGGGAAGTTCAAGTTTGATTTTCAAGCAAGAACACCATTCAAAGATCTAAAAAGCAGATATTTATCATGGCATTCAATCTGTTGCAAAATTCCTTGGCAGTCTGACTCAATGTAATACAGTTTCCATATCATCACAAAGGAGGAAAGAATTGTGTATCTTTAAGCATTATCTTTCTTTATCCTCAATTTAAATAACATTTTTTCTCCTAAGGTTATAGTAGCACTTTTACTATTCTTAGCATACTATTGTGTGAATATTAACAGTATTTCAGTTTTTCTGCAAATAGGAATATAAATGTGAAAAAAATAAAAAAATCATGTTTCAAAAATTAATCAGGTAAGCAACACAACTATATTGTATCTTAGTTCTACTGTATATTTTTAGGTGTATTACTATCTCCCAAAGGAATGCTTAGAGACTGTGGCTCAAAGAGGATCAAATTAAGGGCTTTGATGTTTGAAATACAAAAGCAAACTGCTCATGTATACATTATGTTCAATATTTGATTCAAGCATCAATATTTAGACTACCACAGATAAGTCACTATGTTAGGCACGGCGAGAAATAAAAAATTGAATACAATCTAGTCTTTCATACTCAAAGGTCTTGTAATCTGTGAATAGACAGACAAATCAAGTACAGGCTATAAAAAGGTCATCAGAGAGTTACAGTATTGGAAGGGTTTAGAGGATGGAGGAAATCTCAAATATCAGGAAGACTCTAAAGTTTAATGACCATTGCTCTTTGGTCTTTACATTATGAAGACAAGTCAGCTTTTCATACCTGAGAAAGAGGAGGTTGGGAAATACAGCACAAAGACTACACAACAGTTACTCTATGGTCCCCATGAGAAACCAGCTCAGCGTGGCAGGGAGAAGGTGGATGAGTAAAGAATACTGGCAGTAGAATGGAGACAGCTTTAAAAGTCAAGCTAACAATTTTATTTATAATATTTTGAGTCACAAAATCTTAAGCAGGAGAGTGACATGAAAATCCAAGAGGGAGAGAGAGAGAATAATCTAGTTGCAATGTAGGTATAATAAGCTGAAATGAAATAAAGAGAAAATTACAAGACTTCTGTAGATGTATCTAAGTGAGAGACAAAGACATATGCCAGGGTCATGAAAGTCATTGAAAGGTTTAGATTTTAGAGGCTTTAAAGAAGTAGACTGAGTGACACACAAAATGTAAAGAATGAGGGGAGAGAAGCTGTGCTAAGGTGTTGTGAGTTCTTTCGAAGAGAGGGGCCAATGGTCCCAGGCCCAGGCATGTTGAGTCTAAGATGGAGTACAAATGCTCAGAGGTCATGATTACAGCACTGACTCAACTCAGAGAAAGGGATCAGAGTTCAAACAGCCAGGGGAACATCTTGCAGCAAGTAAACAATGATTCTGCAAAGCATCTCCTACAAGAAAGCATCTCATTCCCAAATGATCATTCACATTGCACATAGGAAACAGTACACTCCAGAAACAAGGGATCCTGTGAGACAATGAAAAACTTCCTCTATTCTGTTTTCCTAATAATTCTCAAAAACTATACCACTTTAATGGAATGCTTCATTATAAATATTTAGAAATTAAGAGCTTGAGAGACAAAGAAGTTTATTATCTGCACTTGGGGGCTTTTAAAATCTTTTAAATATTCTTGTATGGTAATAAAAATTATGTTGGCAGTTACTGAAAATAGCAAAAAAACAAACAAACCATAAAAACCAAGTGTTTGAAATATTGTATTAGGGACTGTTGTTGAATTTTATCAAATGCTTTCTTAACTGACTTTGGATCAATATCAATAGTACATTAATATATTTTCTAATATTAAACCACCCTTGCATTCTTGGTTTAAATACTACTTGCTTATGGTAGATTATTCTTTGAATGGATAGGATCTTATACATTTGTTTACATAATAGCAAGTATTTTACAATGTATATTTAGGTTTTTGAACTAGAATCATTTACGTTCAAGAAGTGGAGTTTTATTTTTAGGATGGTCAACCTTTTTGTCTATGCCAATTTCTGTACTTCAGAAATGGCCAATCATGAAAACAAGACACACTCAACAATAAAGTTATTGCAGACGTGTCAATAAAACTACCTGTTGGATATGCTCAGGACCATCCTCTTATGCACTAGTAATGAATCGCATACCCTAACTATCCAGCCACAATTTATTCAACTGAAAGCAGATGCTGTAGTTGAGAAAAGGAGACACACTGGTCACTCAATAACCAATCTCAACATGCTTCATGAGCTTGAACAAAGAAGCTGTAGACAATCAGATGGCAGTTGATTTCCAGAGCTATAACACCAACAGGGCTCAGGCAGGTGCCTGTTTTTCAACTATACACAGATAAGCAGATTAAGAAAACTTGTGGCATTCAGAGAAAAGCAGAGATTTAAAAAAAAAAAAAAAACATAAACTCCAAAAGACACAGTGAGAGATTTGCTTTCTAATAACTTCATAGTTCCCATAGAGTTCAGCCTTACTTGAGGGAATGGTTCTCTATGAGAAACCCTATATCCTTCTTATAAATCTCTTTTTTGTTAGTCATTCCTTGGAACCAGACATCCTTAATATGATATTTATCAGAAACAGGAGTCTTTTATACAGCTAATCATTTAATAATATTGTTCAATATTTTCCTTGGCTATTGCTTTCCTTGGGTTTTCTAATTCCTCTTGAGTCAGTTTTGGTAGTTTATATATTTCTTTTACAAGTCAATTTCATTTGTTTTCCAGATTTATTAACAGACTGTCCTCTCATGGGTTTTGAAGTTAATGATAATCTAATCAGACTGAGTTAATGGTAACTGCACATCCAGACAGATGTTCCAACTTAAAAGAAATTTATGACATAGCAAGAATACAAATTGAGATTTTGAAAAATCAAGATAATCTTAACACCAAATTTAATACACAGTGAAAGTGCTATTCTTAAGATTTATTTTTCACGTATTTTCTTAGTGAAAATTTTTTTATTATATGTGCTGCTGAAGCGAGCACTGAAATTTTTTTTTTATCATACTACAGGCCAGGCATCTAAAGAACAGATATGAACCCATCATCATAATGATATTTCACCAACAAATACTTAATTTAG